TTTAGCAAATGGCTGCAATATAACAAAGAGTGAAAAATTGAAGGGGGTCTGAATACTTTCCGTACCCACTGTATATATATATATATATATATAAATAAATAAATGAATTAATCATCATGATAAATGAGTAATGAGGTTTGCTGTCGAGGAGATTAATAACTCCACCACTCTTTTACCCACTGTTTCTCTGGGCTATGAATGTTTGACCATTGTTCTAATACAAAGAATTTCCATTCAGTCTTAAGTTTTATCTACTTATGCAGCAGATATAAATTTGATTTCATTTGAATAAAGACTACATGGCTTTATTTTAGCTGTCTGTTGACAGTTTTGAAAGTAGGATCTAAGAATTTTTTTGTGTAAGTTAATTATGTAATTGGTATTTTGTAATTCACAGTCAGTTTATGGAAATTATAATGTGTTCAGTTTTCAGGCTACGTTAATTGTTTGAGGGCACTGATCTTAGTTTATAGAAATGTGTAAATTATGTTTTTAAAAACAGTGTAAAAAAGTTAACTTTAACACATTTTCCTGTTCCTTAAAGGTTCCTTTCTCAAACTGCTCTGTTGAGTGTAAGGCGGGATATTCAAGGCAACCTGAAGGTTTTCATAGCTGCTGTTTTACATGTAAAAAATGTCCATGTAACAGCTATGTAGATTTTTCTAGTAAGTACCTTAGGAGGTGATCAAGACATCTTGGTATTTAAAAAGATGAGAAAAAAAAGAAAATTCTATCTGATTTACTTCACCTCATGTGATTTCAAACCTCTATCTATCTATCTATCTATCTATCTATACTAAAAAAAAATGATTCTTGGCACAATTTTTTAAGTATTTGCATCTATTTGATTTTATTTAAATAATCGTTTAAAAAAAAATATGTACTCCGATTACATAGAATCAATATAAATCTGTTAACTGTCAAAACTATTAGATTTAATCAGTTAAAAATTATGAATAGGGTTTAAATACAGATGGCTCTGAAACAAGTCAGATCCAGTTAGTTAAATTGCATGAGATTGGTTTACATACAAATGGAATCGTTTACCATTCCAGGGCTCGAAATTAACTTTTTTACTTGGTAGCACTGCTGCTCCCAACTTCAAAAAGTTAGGAGCACCAGCAAAAATTTAGGAGCACTCACCAAAAATTTATGAGCATCACAACTACAAATTATATATTAACAGAATTTATCCTTACATTCTTAACTTTAATGCAGATTTTGTATTGGTTAATATTAGCTGTCAATCTCTCAGTGACTGCTTTATGCTAACTACCGCGAGAAAAAGAAAGGGCTGAAGAAGAGAGAAAATTCAAAGAACACTGACAGATTTATTTTGTAAACAACCTAAAGTTAAGCTCTTCTTTGGCGTGGGTTAGGATGGTGTATGCGGTGTTAAATTTTACATTCAGCTCTGCCAACTGCACCGAACGGCTGGCAGCTAGGGGTGTGCGATATTGACAAAAAATTATATGTTGATATTTTCTGGGATTTTATCGATAACAATAATTTGAAAAAAAGAGTGTTACTGTGCTGATATCTTAAGGACTACAGTGGACAGCTGACTCATACAATTTTTTATATTCTTCATATTCTGTGTGGTGGTCAGTTCACAGCAGTGACAGAAATGAATCTTTTCCAATAAGTTTAAATAGATTTTTAGCTTTTATGGCCATTTTACCTTTATAAAGCCATTTTTCTATAAGTGTGCATTATCTTTTGAGTCAAATTCTTACATTTAATCAGTAAATGTGATATTGATTAACTATATCAGGGATAGGCAACGTCGGAGTGCCACTGTCCTGCAGAGTTTAGCTCTAACCCTAATCAAATACACCTGAACAAGCTAATCAAGGTCTTCAGGATAACTAACGCTACAGACAAGTGAGTTTTTTTTCAGGGTTGGAGCTAAACTCTGCAGGACATCGGCACTCGGCACTAATCTAACCTAATAGACTTCATGTCATGTATGCGTGCACTCTCTGTAGGTGTGTTTTGTTTGGATTTTGCAATATACTCGATAATGTCAAACCGCACATCGTAAAACAACAATTACGAAATGTGTAGATTCGGTGGCGAACGCTGTTACCTGCAAACTCCGTCCCACAGGCTTTACAGTGAATGCAGTGCATAGAACCATTTTCTTAGCGGACCCACTAGAAGTCTTTCAACCACTCTCTCCGAAAACTGTACACCTTCTGTTCGGCTGGTGGATCAACATTCACCACATGATCGCTATCACCAGCACCATTATTTGTAACTTTAGGTGGTTCACAAAAGAAATCTGTCAGTGTTTCTTTTTTTATTTTCTCTCTTCTTCAGCCTTTTTCATTCCCCGCGGTAGTTAGCTCCCTGTCACCTGACAGCGGAAAGCAGTGACTGGGTGATTGACAGCTAATATTAACCAATCTAAAATCTGCATTAAAGTTAAGAATGTAAAGATGAAGTTTAATTGGTTATGTAGCCTAACGTTTCATAGAACGGCAGACAGGTCACCGTATCAACACTCAGAAGGCACATACTCTGAACGTTTGTAGAGAAATTAAAACAGGTCGCATGACAACAATTATATGCACTCGCACAAATGCTCCCAAATATATTTTGAGGTCGCACAGATTAAATTTCGGGAGCATATGCGACCAAAATGGTCGAAATTTCGAGCCTTGCATACTCCAGTCGGTAGGTGGCGGTACTGCACAATGGCGTGTCTAAAGTAGTAATGCACATGCAAATAAAAAAAAGCATCGCCAGAAGAAGCGTTCTTCTGAATCTCCTTACCATTTTGCATTGGAGCAGCCTGGATCATAATCTATTTGCAAGGTAAGATATATCTTATATGTACTCAGTGTATATTATTTGACAGATTTTATTGTATATACATGTATTATTAGTGCGGTTGATATCATATTACACTAATATCAATGCACGGACTATCGTTTATTTCACTAGCTAACTAATGGTACTAATTAGGGCTGGGTTGAAATCTGTTTTTCGATTTTAATCGTTTCTCATTGTGACAGTGATCTCATTGTAAATCCTAAGAATCGATAGATGCTGTTTTCACTTGATGCGTGAACAAAACTTAATGAAACATAATACATCACAGTAAGTTTTGTTACTTGTGTTATGAAACAAAGTGTCAGATTTCAGATTCTGTCAATTGTATCACTAAAGTTAAACAGTAAATTCAGTTTTGTTGTTAAATGTAACGTGAAAGATAATTTTAGCACCTCAGTTTAAGCAGCAGTGCAGAACTCGCATGAATTGATCATCTCTTCCTCTTTACTTCTTGTTGTTGTGTTGAAAGAAACAGAACATCCTACCAGAATGAATCACATTTCATGTAATCGCTCAGTCAGAGTTTCAAGACGTCAAAGAAACGGCTCGTAAACAATGTCACAGAAAAGCCATTGAGTGAGTATAAACTCTAAACTAGGTTACTTATCTAGAAAAAAAAATAAAAAATAAAAAGGATAATTTTGCTAAATATATGCACTAGATGACATTCATTATATTTTGTACTTAACCTGTTCTTCAATATGTAATGTAATTTTGAATAAATTAGTCTTAAAAAACAAGTAATGACATCCACTGTTTAAATGTTTGTATTTCAGAAAACTGGAGAAAAAAAACAATATCATTAGAAATGTATTATTTAAAAAATAATAATAATAATATAAAAACAGCCTTACATGCAATTTAAAGGTTTCTTTACAAGTCACTCTAATATACTAAAGTACCAATTGACAGGGTTTATTGTATAGTTACAGCATTAGTTGAGCGAGATTTTTAACTCAGCTTTAGCTTTATGTCTGAGTAAATCAATGACTAATGTCGTGTTTTTGGGATCTTGTTGTTCTGCATGTTTGAGAATGAAGACTAAAATCAACTGCAATTACATCCCGAGGAGTCCAAGTATCTACCTCAATGAAGACATGGAGACACTCATTAAAGAATATGTGGTAAGTGTATGCCAACCTGCTCTTTTTACATTATAAATGTCTTATGGATATATCTACATTGATAGTTATGTTAATTTTCTTATTGGCATCACAGTCTCACTTTGCCCATGTGTGTGTAGTATGCAACAAATTAGCTCATTTTTGATTTGATAAAACTCACTATCTCTTAGTAGAGGTAACTAAGTTAGTATGACGAATATTGTTTTGTTTCTTTTGCATTTATTTCTGCAGTATGGTTGATTGTGGCAAAAATGTTTGAAAATAGTGTTTAACATTAATGTGCATGTAAATATGAAGGCACTTTTTGTTTTTTGTTGTTGCACACAAGTGTATGAACACTGTGTAGTATGTCTTGCTAACTCATATATAGCCAAATGTTTTGAAGCCTTAATAAATTGATATAATGTACCAGGGTGGTCTTGCTGTTCTTTTTTTGTGTGTTGTAGTTAGATTTTGTTGTAGCACAGTGTGATTGGGTGGGGTAGGATTAAATATATGAAATACGTTGGGTTTATTGATAAAATTATGTAAATGTGGTGCATTTTAAGTACATTGGGTTTATTACCTAATAATACAAATACACGTTTCTTATGCATTTAAAAAAAAATTTATTTATTGGCACTATTACATAAATCTTATTACTTTCTTGTTTCATTTACATAAGGTTGGCAAATTTGCATCACAAAAGTTTATTAGTTTAAGTTAAAAATATGTAATCAAAATAGATAGAAATTTTATATGCAATTGAAATACATAAATCTTAAGAATTGGGCCTAAATATTTTTTTGAGTCTCTATCTATCTATCTATCTATCTATCTATCTATCTATCTATCTATGTATATACAGTGGACTAAATCCCTTAAAGGACTATCCCTTTAAGCTTCTTCAGTCCATTCTATCACCATAATACTTTACTGGAGTTATTGGTGCTTTTTGAAGTGTGATTTGAAAGCAAAATATTTTCCCACATTAATTTACTTTTATTATGGCTTTTAGCAAAATACTACTACTAAACATTTAAATATATTATTTTACTGTTTTTTTTCAGGGGACCCCTATACATGTTTTCCATGTGCAGAGAGTGAATGGTCTGATGAGGGCAGCACGACATGTAAGACACGTTCTGTTGTCTATCCTCAGTTCACAGAAATCCCCTCCATCATTGTCATGATTTCAACTGCATGCCTAATTATTCTCCTTTTTGCCGTATTTTGCCTTTTTGCTTACAATTATGATACACCAGTGGTAAAGTCTGCTGGTGGCAACATGTGTTTCCTCATGTTGACCAGTTTGATTCTGTCTAGCATAAGTGTGTTCTTTTTCTTTGGAAAACCCACATCTGTATTTTGCCTCCTGAGAAATGCCATATTTACATTTTTCTTTACTGTCTGTATTTCCTGTTTGACTGTCCGTTCCTTTCAAATTGTTTGTGTTTTTAAAATGGCTGCTCAGTTCCCTAAAGTGCACAGCCTTTGGGTAAAACACAATGGCCAGTGGCTCTTCATTGCATTTTCTTCTTTCATTCATTTAATTTCTTGTGTGATATGGATGACTATCAATCCTGTCAAGCTCATTGCTGACTCATGGACTTTTAAAGACCAGATTATGCTCATTTGTGAAATGGGGAACACTCTAACATTAACCATAGTCGTGTTCATAAGTTGGTTTCTTGGTTTCCTGTGTCTCCTGTTTTCTTACATGGGAAGAGATTTGCCGAAAAATTACAATGAGGCCAAATCAATAACTTTTAGTCTCATTTTGTACTATCTGACCTGGATTGCATATTTCACTGCATACCTCACTATCAAAAGCAAATACATTGTAATTTTAAATGCAGTTGCCCAGATATCCAGTATAAATGGAATTCTCTTCAGTTATTTCATACCAAAATCTTACATCATAATATTTCAACCACAGAAAAATACATCCACATACTTTCAAACATCTATTCAGAATTACACCCAAACCATTAGTAGGTCTTAGACATTAGTCTTTGTGTATAGAGACTTACATCTTAAACTCTGTGTTAGTGGTTTAGATTCTTTGCTATTATATTACCACAATGTTAAAGAAGCTAATAGGCAAATAGAATGGAAGCTAATAGACAAATAGAATGGAAGCTAATAGAATGGAAATCTGTTCTGGGGTTCAGTTTGCATTTGAGTTTTTTTGAGAATAAAAGAGTAATTTAAATACTTATAAAGCTTTAAATAAATGTGATATAAACAGGCTTCCCGTTTATTTTATTTACTTTTTTTTTTTTACTTGGACACTAAGTCATTTTGAAAATGTTCCTTATTACAAGTAATCCATATCGATTTGGGAGGTAATAGTGGTAAATATTGGTAAAGCAAAATAGTGGGAGCTATTTTGTATGTTTGATGTCATATTGACGGTCTATTCAAACACATATTTTGCTGAAAAATTCAGTTCACTTCATAGTTTTATGCTTGTTACGTCCTTCCCTTTTGGTCTAGGGGTAAATGGGAACGACAAACAATAAATAGTGGAGAGACTTTGAGGATCTCCAGCTCTCCAGGCCCAGAAATCACAACCAACCACAGATTTGAGTTTAAAAACGGCTTGGGTGCCTTTTAATTTTAACTCAATCAAGGGATTCAAAAAAAAGGAAAACATTAATACAAAAATAACAGTAAATACAAACAAAGAAACATTACCTCGGGAGGAGGGCCCGAACAAAATAAAAAAACAAAAAAACAACACCTCTACCTAAAAGGGGAAAATATTAAATTACCTATACATTAAAGAAAATAAACAAAACAACATATAACTTCCCTCACTCCCTAACTAACCATTAAACAGGAGAAAACGTATGGGTATCCTCCACCCTACCTTACCCACAAGCTTAACTGATTATTAAGCAAATCATCAACTCAGGAACCATTGTGACAACCCAAAAAAGAACACAACAAGCGCGATAAGCGCTCATGGGCCTGGAGAGCGGAACAACCTCAAACGCCGCGATGTCTCTCTCCTTCCTCCACGCTCTCTCTGCTATTTTGAACTAGAAGCCAGCAAACACGCACCAATCAGGTTGTGGACAGCGCATTCAGGTGGATGAGCGCAGCTGATCATCATTAGCCTATCAAGCACAGACACACAGGTAGAGAGAGAAAGGGAGAGAAAGAGAGTAAAAATACAAACACCAACAACACTCTTTGTATCAATAATAGAGACAAAAATTAATACGTCATTAGCCGTAACACCCCCACCAATAAACTTTTCCTATATTCCCCTTTTTGATCCTTTATCGCTCCTCGCCCACTACCCTAGATTATCAGTAGAACCACGTTATCAGTGCCTTTCTGATGCCTAATATCCAGATTGTACTCTTGTACAATTAAAGCCCATCGCATCAGTCGTTGGTTGGCATTACGCATACGGGATAGAAATGTTAAAGGGTTGTGGTCGGTAAATACAATAATGGGCACACTGCTACCTCCCAAATAAACTTCAAAGTGCTGGAGCGCTAGCACTAAAGCCAGAGCTTCTTTCGCAATTGTGCTGTAATTACTTTGGCACTTTGTGAACTTTTTGGAGAAATAGCACACGGGATGATCAATACCCCTATTGTCCTCTTGTAGCAATACGGCTCCTGCTCCAACTGAACTCGCATCCACATGCAATTTGAAAGGGCGGTGAAAGTCTGCAGCTTTAAGAATGGGGGCATAACACAGAAGATCTTTAGCGGACAAAAAAGCACGCTCACACTCAGTAGACCATACAAATTTCCTTTTGTCACTGAGTAAATCAGTAAGTGGGGTTACAACACTAGAGAAGTTTTGACAGAAATTTCTGTAATACCCACACATTCCAAGAAAACGTCTCAACTCCCGTTTGTTAGAAGGAGCCGAGTAATCCATTATCGCGGAAACCTTCGCTTCTATAGGTCTTACACTTCCATGACCCACTTTCTTTCCCAAATAGGTCACCTCTGCTTTCGCAAATTCACATTTTGCGAGATTTACAGTCAATGAAGCCTCTGACAATCGGGTAAATAATAATTCAAGGTTTGTCAAATGCTCAGTCAAACTGTCTGAATACAGTACCACATCATCTATATATGCATCACACTTCGGTACGTCAGATAAAACCTTCTGCATAAGTCTTTGAAACGTTGCGGGTGCATTTCGCATCCCGAATGCAAGTACAGTGTACTGAAGAAAGTTATCAGGTGTGACAAAGGCAGAAATTTCTGAAGCTTGTGGCGTGAGAGGTACCTGCCAGTACCCTTTCAACAGATCAATCGTTGTCACATATTTTGCTGCACCAATCCGATCAATGCAATCCTCTATACGAGGCAGAGGGTAGGAGTCAGGTTTGGAAAGACCATTAACTTTCCGATAGTCCGTACAGAAACGATATGTGGCGTCTGATTTGGGGACTAACAAACAGGGAGAGCTCCAGGGACTCTGACTTGGTACAGCTAATCCATGTTTTAACAGATATTCTATCTCGGCCTTCATAATCTCACGCTTTTTCGGATTTTTTTCGGATAAGGATGCTGCTTCACAGGGGATACACTTCCCACCTTAATATCATGACATAATACAGACGTTCTGCTAGGTACATCAGAAAACAGAGAGGGAAAAGACTGGATCAAATTACACACATCCTCATACTGTTTTTCAGATAAATGCATAAGATGCCTGCGTAAATCACCCAAAACGCTAGAATTGTTCAGATGAGGGGTAGAAGTTTGAACCTCACCATTGTCTTTTACAGCGCAGGAGGTAGTTATAGTAACTGCGGAAGAGACCAATGGAACGTCTGCAGACAGAACAATTTTCGACTCTCTCTCCACGTAAGTCTTCAGCATGTTCACATGGCAAACTCTAGTTTTTACGTCGACGATCAGGGGTTTGAATAACATAATCAGTCTCACTAAGCTTTTGCTCGATGACATATGGCCCTGAAAACCTCGCTTGTAAGGAAGCACCAGGCACAGGCAAAAGCACAAGAACAGAGTCACCAACCTGCAAATTCCTTTTGACACTCTTTTTATCAAACTGTTGCTTCATTTTCTCCTGAACAACAGATAGATGAGCCTTAGCTACCTCACACGCTTTATGAAGTCTCTCTCTGAAAGAACTCACATAATCCAAGAGAGCCACAGAAGACGAATTTTTCATCAACAAATGTTCATACAGCAGTTTCAATGGACCCCTTACGGTGTGCCTGAACACCAATTCCGCGGGACTAAATCCCAAGGACTCCTGAACTGCTTCTCTGGTCGCGAATATCAATAAAGGCAGCCCTTCCACCCAGTCCTTTCCTGTCTGCAAGCAATATGCACGAATCATAGTTTTAAGGGTTTGATGGAACCTTTCCAAGGCTCCCTGTGATTCAGGATGATAAGGACTAGAAACTCGATGCTCAATTCCTAATTCCTTCAAAACTTGAGCAAAAGTCTTAGAAGTAAAATTAGTTCCTTGATCGCTCTGTATTACTCGCGGTAGACCAAACGTGGTAAAAAACAACCAAATCCCTTACCACTGCTTGTGCTTTCAATGAACGCAAAGGAATGGCTTCTGGGAACCTAGTGGCTGCACACATAATTGTTAACACATACTGGTGCCCTGATTTAGACTTAGGCAGCGGACCCACGCAATCAACAATGAGTCGCTCAAACGGCTCTTCTATTACCGGTATGGGATACAAAGGGGCAGCAGCTACCTTCTGATTAGGCTTTCCTATGCACTGACACACATCGCAAGAGCAACAAAAATTAGCAACAGATAAACGAAGACCGGGCCAAAAGTAGTACTTAGAAATGCGGTGAAAAGTTTTTGTCACTCCTAAATGACCCGACATAAAATTCTCATGTGCCAATTTTAACACTGGGGCACGGTAGCTAGCAGGCAAGACAATTTGAAACTTCTCGTGCAAACCTTGTTCATCATAACGCGGTTTCCATTTTCGCATTAACACGTCATTCTCTCAAAAATAACCTACTTCAGCATCTGCTCTATCTTTCACGATGACCGCTGACTCAACACATTCTGCTAAGGAAACATCAGATTTTTGCTCAGCCACTAACTTCTCCTTACCAACACTGAAAGGAGCTTCTAGAATTAATGCCGTCTTTGTCACTTTACATGTCTCACGCGACTTTGACTCTTCAACCTTAGATTCGGCATTTAAAAATGACTCAGAAAGATGAACAAACTTCTTGAAACTTTTGACTTTGAGCCCATGTCACAGCACATGCTGGGAAAATGGAAGGGAAATGAACCCCTAGATCAGACTGTTCCTCAATCACAGGTTTGTGCATCACTACTGTACTAGAAAAAACTTTGCCACCTGCAAGGTAATTTCCTAGAATAATATCTACTCCAGCAACAGGCAACTGTTTGCGAACACCTAACTTAACAGTACCAGAGATAAGGTCCGATTTTAATTTCACTTCGTGCAAAGGAACCTGTACACAGCCCATTTCTATACCTTGTACTAACACATCAGTACCGGTATACGATTTTTCAGAGAAAGGCAAGGCACTTTCAAGTATGAATGACTGACAGGAACCCGTATCTCTTAAAATCGAGATTTGAGACTCAGAGACTGACACCTGCCCATTTAGAATGAAAGGGCCATAACCAAAGCATTCAGCCTCTCGCAATGCTGGAAGTGTCTGTGTAAGCGAAACACTTTTGGTTTTCATTGATACATTCTTTCTATTCCATTCTTTACAATCCGAAATTAAATGTCCAGGGTCTAGACAATAAAAACAAACCCGCCTGCCTCCCTGACGCATAGAATTTCGAACATTCATTTTAGGGCGAGTGCCATTGTTCCCCGAACAAGAAAAGTTTTGAGAAGGAGACTCCTCCCCCACAAACTTTTCAGCGGAAGAGCCAGTAATAGGCAACTCCTGTGAAAAAACTTTGCGGTGCATAAGCACAAATTCATCGGCTAATACTACAGCTTCTGCAAGCGTGGTTACCTTCTGCTCGTTTAGGTGC